GATAACTCTGGAACGATATCTACAGTGAACAATGTTGGGTTTCATGAAGGAGTTAAACATGAGGAAGTCCGGACAGCGTACGTGCAAGAGAAGATTCGCGAAAACAAGATACAGGTTGACTATGTTTCTACTAAAGATAACATCGCTGACATGTTTACGAAATCTCTCGCGCCCGATACACTTTTGAAGCTCATTAAACTCAGTGGAATGAACGTCCATGATTGGGGGGAATGTGAGAACTAGACGCTTAGCCCTAATTAATCATGTGACAAATGAGACATTAAAGTTCGCACCACTTACCCGGAACCAAATAGCACGACGAGTATATGAAGGGAAGAGAATTCCCTCTAGAGATCTTTTTAGAAGGTCAGTTGACACAAAAGTGGTTTTAGTTTTTCCTAAATAAAGGTTTATTTCCACACGCTAGTACATCATGTCGAATCCGATATCTCAACTGTACCAGTTGGGAACCACTTGTGGACAGGACATTGAGTTGGAATATCCTGTACTCAAGCAGAAATACAAACACGGTCTGCCAGGCTGTAGCTTATAAGACGAAGTAATTTGGGGCCGAGCAGGGCCAGAGCCGGACGGCAGAAATCGACCCAGTCTGCAGGCGCCGGACGGCAGAAATTGACACAGTGTTCAGGCGCCCGACGGCAAAAGTTGGCCCAGTGTCCAGACGCCAGTATAGGCCCGGTGTACCGACGGCCGAGCTTGCCAAATGTGCGGTTGTAGGCTTTGAAACGGAGTGGAGAGAATGGGCCGGTTAAAATTATCTATGGCTTGCCGCGAATATAGCTGGTGCGGCGAGAGCTGGCGGGCCTGGAAACTCAAGATGATAAGGTGCGCAATTTCCAGCGCGCGCTCCAGGCCTTCTGGCAGCGCATGGTCATAAGTGCATTGGTATTTCGGGCACGGCATTGTCAGGGCGTCCATGGAGCATTAAGCAGCGCCACGAAGAACTCTTGGTCGGCGAACCCGAGTTCAAAAGATGTACAAAAGGCGGTGGCGTTGCGCATCTCAAGTCGGGGTTCTTAGAATTCTGATTCGTCGCCCTGTATTTCAGAGTACTGAGAGCGCGCAGTTCACGGTAGGCTTTGTTGAGAAGCACGGGGCGCTGTCGTTTTTGTCATTCATGGACTGCCTTTTACAGGGCACTTTGCTTGATGTGCCTGCTGTGTATAACACTTTTTGGGGCCCACTGTGGAGTTCTCACTAGTAGAACTTATAAAGAGTACTTATTAGTGGCACTAATCGAGAGTACTCATTAACCGCACTAATTGAGAGTGCTCATTAATAGCACTAATTGAGAGTACTTATCAACAGCAGTAACCAACAGCAGTAACCAACAGCACTTATTAATACGACTCATTAGCAGCACTCACTAGTAGCACCAACAATCAGCACCAGTTATCAGCACTATGATCAGCACTAGTTATCAGCACTCATCAACAGCAGTTGTTAGCAGCCCTAATTAGACTTCTCACTAATAGCATATATAAGCAGTTTATGTGGCACTGTGATCAGCAGCACTAATCAGCAGTTTTATTGACACCACCAATTAGGTATATATTCCTCTTTATTAATAGATACACCTTTATTAATATTATTCAAAATTATATTCTTGATTCAATAAAAAACACACAGCTTGATTATTTTCATAAACAAATGAGCCATCGGCTATAGTAAGCCCAACTAATCAATATCTAAAGCCAACTCTCTATTTATCTTTTGCAATTATTCTGAATTCATTTGTTTTTACTTTATTTCTTAATACTAATGAACAAATTCAGCTTTTATCTATCTTAACATATAGAACATAATGGTGAATTAAATTTATACAGAACCAATGATGAGCTTAAAACAATTGACGGTTGTTATATTGGAGTATTAAGTAAAAGACAAATCTGGTTCACCGATGGTTTTCTGCGAAATATTTATTAGTATAGCCCTTGTAAATGTTAAAACTGGTACATCACTTAAATCCAGCACTTATTGAGAAAACTCATTAGTAGCACTAACTGAGAGTACTAATTAGCGTAAATCAGCAGCATTGATTAGCAGCGATAACTAAGAGCACTTGTTAGTAGCGCTCGTTAGTAGCACTCTTTTGTAGCATTTGCGAGCAGCAATACGCATTATGAGCACTGATAAGCAGCACTAGCCAGCAGCAATCACCAGCGCTCATGAGCAGCGCTCATTAGCAGCGCTATTACCAGCACTCAATAGTAGCACTAGTGAGTCATTAGCATGTAACATTAATTATCAGCACAAATCAGCAGCATGAATCAGCAGCACTAATTCTCAGCGCTAATTAGCAGCAATCGCCGGCACTCATCATTAGCACTCATCATTAGCACTACTCAGTAACACTATTCAGTAGCACTAATTAACAACGCTTGCTAAAGACACCCATTAGTTGCACTCATCAGTGGCACTCACCACCAGTCCCCATTAGCAGCACTAACTTGGAGTGCTCATTAACAGCACTAATTTGAAGTACTCATTAACAGCACTACTTAGGAGTACTCGTTATTAGCACAAATTAGGATAGATCAGAGCTTTTATTGGCGGCACAAATCAGTAGGACTCATCAGTAGCATTGGTTGAGAGCACTCATTAGTAGCATAAATTAGCAACATAAATTGGCAGCAATAGTTGTAAGCACCAATTGACAGCATATGAGCAGCACCAATGAACAGCACTCATTAGGAGTACTCTGCAGCACAAATCAGCACCATTGGTTGGCAGCACTGATTGGCAGAACTAATAAGCAGCATGAATGAGCAGCACTAATTGACAGCACTAATTCACAGCACTCAGCAACAGAACTAATAAGCAGTACCAATGAGCAGCTAGCACAACAGCACCAATTAGCAGCACTTTCAAGAGTACTCATTGGCAGAACTAGTTCACAGTACTCACCAACAGCATTCATTCGCAGCACTTATCACCAGCACTTGTAGCAGCATTAATTCAGATTCTCGTTAGTAGCAAACTAGAAGTCTAACTAGCAGTTTAATTAGCAGTACTAATTAACAGACTCATTAACAGCACCAGTTAACACATTCATTAGCATAAAATAGCAGCAATAATGAGCAGCAATAAGCAAGAGCACTCATTAGCAGCACTCATTTGTAGCATTTGCGAGCAGCAGTACTCATTATTAGCACTCATTAGTAGCACTCATTGTAGCATTTAGGAGCAGCAGTACTCGTTATTAGCACTCATTAGCAGCACTAGTTTGTAGCATTTGCGAGCAGCAGTACTCATTATTGGCACTCATTAGTAGCACTCATTGTAGCATTTAGGAGCAGCAGTACTCATTATTAGCACTCATTAGTAGCACTCATTGTAGCATTTAGGAGCAGCAGAACTCGTTATTAGCACTCATTAGCAGCACTAATTCACAGCACTAATTCACAGCACTCAGCAACAGCCCCCATTAACAGCGCTATCAACAACACGCAATAGTAGCACTCAATAATGGCGCTAGTAGGACTCATGAGCACTCACTAGTAGCACTCACTAGTAGCACTCACTAGTAGCACCGACAATCAGCCCGCATCAACAGCATTCATCAGCAGCACTAATGAAAAGCACTCTTGAGCAGCGCTCGCCACCAGCACGGTCAGTGCAGACGCGGTCTGCGCCAGACACGAGGCTGCGCCCCGGCGGGCCGCAGGGCACAGACACTCTATCCGCCCGGTGCAAATTGGAAGGGCGCAAGCAGACAATCAGTCGCCAGCGGACCCGTGTGCGGGCCGCGGTCACCCGAACACCACGTTGTAGAGGCGGAAGAGCACGGCAAGCACCACCACGAGCACGGCCGAGAAGAAGTAGAGCACGTGGCGCGTGGACTCGTACATGTACAGCGACGGGGCCGGCGAGCCCGAGAGCGGGATGCTGACCACGTGCTCCGCGGCCTGGTAGCACACGTCGCGGCGCGCCACGATCTGGCAGCTGCGGGCCGCCACGTCGCGCTTCAAGATGGCGCGGCCCAAGAGCACGGCCGTGTACAGCAGCAAGGACGGGTTGACCGCGGCAAACACCATGTCGAGGAGGCGGGCCTCGCGCTCGAGCCCGCCCGTGATGGCGGCGATCTTCTGCAACTGCTTGGCCACGCTGGGCGTGAGCTCCGGCAACATGCCGATCTGGTCCACGATGGTCTGGAGGCGCAACAAGCCCGCCGCGCCGCCCAACAGCTTCTGCACCATGCGCGTGTGCGTGGCGAGACACGGCACGAGGAGCTTCTTCAAGTTGTCGAACGCGCCGAAGAACACGTCGATGCAGCAGAGCGTGCGGTGCACGGCGGCGAACGCGGCGCCGCACGCCTGGAGCACCACGAGCGCGCCTTTCTTGACCACGGCCTCGTAGGGAAGCAGTTCCCAGCCCACGCCCGGCCCGTGCACCGGGCGCCCCAACACCGAGCCGAGGTCCGTTTCCAAGCGCGCGAGCGCCGCGCGTGTTTTGGCGGCCATGGCCCGCACGTCGTCGTAGTGCGCGATCTTCAGGAGGAGCGTGCTGTAGATGGTCACGATGTCCGTGTACAAGTGCACGATTTGCTTGCTGCTGAGCAAGTACCGGTGGGCCGAGGCGTTGAGGCACGCCTGGAAGAGGCGCGGGTGGGCGCGCACGACCCGCTGCTCCTCGGCGGAGAGCGGGGGCCCGCTGAGCGAGATGCGGCGGTCGCCTATTAGATAAGTCATGGGAGGTTCGGCGTCGGCCTGCTCCGGGATGCGTGCGAGGGGCGTGGGGATACGGGCATGCGCCGGGCTTCCGGGGGCGTGCGGGGCGGGGCCTGCTTGGGAAGACGCGGGGGAGCACGGGGGGACTGTTGCCGGGCGGGGGGTGCTTTGCCGGGCAGGATCCGTGGGAGGTGGGGTGGTTTTGCTGGTGCGCCTGTGCCGATGGCGATGGGTTCCAGGGCCGGCGCTGGACTGTGTGCAGACGCGGCCCTGGGCCGGGCCTCCCAGTGGATGCTTCACGGTGCAGAAAAAGAAGGGCTGCGGGCGGCCCGGTCTATCGTTGGGTTTTTGAATCTCCGGAATCTTTGGGAGAGTGGAAACCTGCTTGGACTGGGCACCGGCTTCGGATGGTGATGTGGAAAACAACGACCCTAGTAATGGCCCTGGAGCTGGCCCTGGAGCCGGCCCAGCACTGATCCTGGAACCCGCACCTTTCAAGAATGTAATTTATTTAAGATATAAACTGAAAATTACCAGTGACTTGATATATAGGCCGTCAACATCCAAATCCTCTGGTAGTATAAAAAGTCTCCCTCGGACGGGGAACCGGCTTTATTCGACATGGTCATGTAACAAAACAACGGCCCTAAGCTGGCACTGGAACCGGCCCTGGAGCCGGCCCTGGAACCCGCACCTTTCAATCATGTAATTTGTTTAAAGAACATAGATTTAAAAATCACCAGTGTCCCGACATATCGTCAAGTATCCCATAGCCAAAATCTTTGAAGATAAACAATCTGCTTGGACTGGGCACCGGCTTGACAT